AATGTAAACAATGCAAAAAAACATAAATACTAATAACAAACATGTGGTTCACTTTGGTCGTTCTGTTTGATTGACTTCGACGTGACGCAGCTAAATGCTGTGTTGTCATTCGTAATATGATTGCTTTGGCGATGACGTACTGTTTCTGTTACCTGGTTGGACTTTTATCTCTGCTCAAGCGAAGAAACTCATTGCTAGTGGTTATTCACTTGTTTTCTGTTTTATTTTCTGACCTAAGCATGACGTAGAAATGTCATTTATTTCACTCAGGTCGATATGAATGCTAAGTCCCCACAGCAACTGTTTCGTCGTGAGGAATTGATCTACCTGTCCCCCGACTCCCCGCACGTGCTTACAGACCTGAATCCCGAAGTCGTGTATGTGATTGGTGGATTAGTGGATGAAACTGTGAAAAAGGTATTTTAATTTTTTGACAAACCTTTAGCTAAGTACAGCTTTTCTTTTTCGTTTGTTTGTTTGTTGTTCTCCGGAGATTCTAGCGAATGTAGCTTGTTATTACAATACTAAAATTATAATTACGAAAACCAGTTTTTTATAGGTATTTATTAACTTCTTTGTGAGTCACGGTCCAGCTGACGTAATAGGGTCCAGTATCGATCGTGGTGTTTTGTCGATAGCGGCACGAGATACTAAATAACAGGTGTTCGTTTCTGCCTTACACATGTAGTGAGCCTATGCACAGTAATTTCACGACTTGAACATATGTAGGATACGAATATGTTTTTATCATTCTTTTAGTTTAAAAGGAGAATCTGCGAATTGAGAGCATAAAGTAAAAAATTACATTTGTTTATTTGTAGTTTAACAGTTTTCACGGGGTGGTTTTACTGGCTTTTACTTCAACTGTTTCTTACCAAGTCGCAGAATAGCGTACATCCCACTATTACATGGTCTAAGTCAAATATCACTTAGGCTCCATATAAGCAGGATTCCAGTGGTAACTTCCAACAGATTCCAGAGCGTGATCTTCGCACTTGTTATAACGAATGTATTTCTCATTCTTGTATGTAACTTTCACGTACTTCACAGAAATGTGTGTTTTGATGTTGACGTTGTTGTGTTTTTGACCTGTTATTCGTGAAGATTCGTGTATTTAAATTGCATAAATTCCCAAGTCCTGAACAACAAGACGAATCTATCAGGAGATGTCATGTCAGATGCCAGGGCTGTCAGGCGATACCGCAGATGAGATCGACTTTTCCAATATGAAGATGCGACGCAAAGGTTCTCAAATAGAGTCGCTTAGACATATTTAGAAAAGGGAAGGACGTCTTGGCTTCGAGCCTCCTTCTGTACTTATTGCGTGTTGACAATCGTTATTAAAGTATGTGCGCGTCGTCGTTCTCTGTTGTGGACATAACTTACACTGCAGGAGACGCCAGCTTTATGAAAGGAATTGATTAGGTCTCATCAACATACTTGAGATTCGTACATGAAAAAAAAAAAAGACGAATCGTATGTATATAAATATTTCTGTGCTAAAAATATCGCAACTGGAACGTTTATAATTTTGAAGTACGAAAATTAAAGAAAATACCGTTCAGGTGCAGCTGCGGCTGTTCTTTATACCTATGAGTTTTTTGTTTTTTTTTATATAGGGCGAGCATATTTGGTGGCGGGAATTCGAACCCGCGACCCTGAGATTGCTAGTTGAGCTCCTGAACCACCAGGCCATACCACTTGATAGGTGGCCCAGCATGGCCAGGTGGTTAGGGCGCTCGACTCGCAATCTGAGGGTCGCGGGTTCGAATCCCGTCATACCAAACATGCTTACTCTTTCATCCGTGGCGGCGTTCTAATGTTACGGTCAATCCCACTATTCGTTGGTAAAAGAGTAGCCCGAGAGTTGGAGGTGGGTGGTGATGACAAGCTGCCTTCCCTCTAGCCTTTCACTGCTAAATTAGGGACGGCTAGCGCAGATAGTCCTAATGTAGCTTTGCGTGAAATTCAAAACAAAAACAAACAAATAGTTTTAAATTATTTTTCCCATTGTTTTAACAAAATATTCTGGTTCTTAGTTTTGATTTCTCATAGTATAGGCTCCAGTTTAACTGTTTTTGTTGAGCAGTGTTCAGCCAAAGCTGATTCATTAACCTCATATTTATGTTCCTAAAATCTAACTTTTAAATTTCTGCACGTGTGATCAATGTAAATTAATCTTCAGTTTCATGAAATTTTAAAGATACCACGTTTATCATCCTTTTCTACTCTGTCTTTAAGACCAATAATAAAATTTCTTCAAACGGGGGGGGGGGGGGACGTTACACTACTATTTATGTGGTTTTTGTGTGAAAATACCCTGAACGTATGTCAAGCATTATCCTAATGCCATCTGAAATCTAGTACATTGTAATACTTTAAACTTATTACAGTACTTATTATAAGTTTTCAATAATGTTAGGAATAAATCCTTTATCATTAAAGTGTAAACTCCGACATAAAAAAATCTTTTCTACAGTTATAGACATTTAAGCTTCTAAAATCAACGTAGAGAAAGCAGACAGTTTTTGTGACCAAGGGTGACACTAACTGATATATACACTGTCTTAAAGCAGCATTCAGAGTTAATTTATGTTTTGTCTAGTGTTTGATGATTTGTTAGTTGATTTGTGTATGAACAGATAGCTGTAAAAAAATTCCAGTTAATTAATGCACGTTTTAATCAGAAACGAAAAAAAAAATCATTACTTCATTTTAGCATTGTTATATTTACAATAATACGTTTTCTCTGTTTAATATATTAAGTATTCGATTTATTCATGATGTTAGAAGAGCACGTAGGTACAAGAAATCAAGTTAACACAAAGATACGATACCCTTTACCCGAGTGCTTTCGAAAGGTGGACCTTTTTTTTTCTTCTTCAGGGTTTGGTTTCTTTTGAATTTCGCGTAAAGCTACACGAAATTTTTCTGCGTTAGCCATCCTTAATATAACAGTGATAGACTAGAGGGAAGGTAGCTAGTCAACACCGCCCACCGCCAACTATTGGGCTACGCTTTTACCAACGAATAGTGAGATTGATCGTAACATTATAACACTCCCACAGATGAAAAGGCGAACATGTTCGGTGACAGAGATTTGAACCCGAGGATTACGAGTTGAGCTCTCTAACCATCAGACCATGCCAGGTCTCTTCTTCAGGGGCAAAGTTTTTCACACACACACTGGCTACTTGACTTTAACTGCTTACATCTTTGACTGATTCTAAATCCACAACTTACAGTTTTGAAGACTGGCTTGTTCGCTTTCATTCGTAAAATTAACCTACATAAAACGATTAGGAATAGATTAAGACGCTATTTACACGTGTTTGAAGAGAAAACATAAACAAAGAACACACTTCTGTGTGCTGGTATGTACAAGTAGTAATGTTCGTGTTTCTGGTTCGACGCTTTTTCACATTCTTAATTTGTTTGATGTATTTGCTATAGAAACAGTCATAATACTATCTAAGGACACCAGACACACAACAACAATACAATGAATACCACATATAAAAACACACCACTATCTCAGTTCTTTGCTCTCCAAGCAATATTACGAAGTACTATTTTGTAACTGAAGTCTCTCTCGGTCCAATTTTATTCTCTCTTAATCATGGCTGGAGGGAGTGATGTCACTAATGGACCCGTTTCTTCTCACTGCCTTATTCTTCCTCTTTCTCCTTCTATTAGTCTTCTGTAGCATGAAGACGAATTCACATCGCAAACAGATAACTCGTTCTATCATCTCAGTGCAGTGCTTACGTGTCACTGTATTATGTAGGACATATATGGGTAAAGGGAAGTCTAACGGTCATAGGTCACTTTCAGGACTCTGAACCGCAGTATTACACTTAAAGCGTTTGCAAGCTGAACTTGAAGGCGATGGTAGTTTGTGATTCTCACTACTTGTTCAAGATGTCAGTAGATACTTAAAGTACAAACTTGACAGTGACTCGTTGACGTATTTAAAGGAAACTTTTGTTCCTTCGTCACTGTCAAGTTTATTTTTATAATCGCCTCCCAGTGTCATAGCAGTATGTCTTCGGACTTACAACGCTAAAAACCGGGTTTCGATACCCGTGGAGGGCAAAGCATAGATAGCTCATTGTGTATATTTTTGTGCTTAATTCCAAATAAGCAAAACAATTTCTATAAATTCCTGAAATATTCAAAACAAGCTTCCGTAAATCACGCGGTTCGTCTGCGGACTTACAACGCTAGAAACCGGGTTTTGATACCTACCTTTGGTGGGCAGAGCACAGACAGCCCATTGTTTAGCTTTGTGCTTAATTACAAACAAACAACCTGACCCAGCCCATATATGCGACAAAACATGGTAGCTCCCTCTTTGCAAGATGTTGCCTCTTTATTCTTGCACAATTTACCACCGTTGTGTTTCGTGTCAGCAACTTTTTTAGCCCTTTGAACATTACTGTATAAGATAAAAATATGTATGGAAATGATTAAACTACACAAAGAATGCCCCCAGTGGCTCAACGGTAAGTCTGAAGGCTTATAATAATACAAACCAGTTTTCGATATCCGTGGTAGGCACAGCACAGACAATCCATTGTGTAGCTTTGTGCTGAACAACAGACAAAAACACAGAATATTTAAAACAGCTGTCATTGTTATAACAAGATGTTGTCGTTTTCTCGTTACAAGAACATTTAATAACGATTTTGTTACTTTATATACCTGTCATTCATTTGTATCTTATTTGTGTGTCGCGGGTTCGAATCCCCGTCACACCAAACATGCCAGCCCTTTCAGCCGTGGGGGCGTTATAACGTGACGGTCAATCCCACT